ATGTGCCTGGTCATGGTTTGTAAAATATAAAGCTGAAGGAGGTAGTAGTAAGCAAACAAAAATATAACTATAGTAACTCTTCCCCCGCATTACTATAATGCCGACCACCAATCGAAATCTGTTCTAATTTTGAAGCATATAATTCATTTTGTGAAAGTTTCACAACGGATTTTCTTTTTATACAAGTATAGAAGTAACAATGTAGCATTCTAGTCACGTATGGTTTCTATAAAAAATTCTCATAAAAAATTTGATACGTTTAAAGAATCGATTAGAAAATCAATTATCATAAGGGATGATCAGAGCAAAGTGCTCTAAACTGGTCAGCTCTTTTGCATAAAGCTCATTAAAAACGTTTATTAAATCGTGAATTCTCTAATTTGCATGAAAGTATTGATACGCAAAGACCATGGTTATCACGTAAATTTTTAAAGTTGTGTTTTATTCATCAACGTATCGAATGTTAAATTATTTAAAAATCTTCACACAGGATATGTCTATATTATCAAAATCCAGAAAAGATTCCAGCGCTGTTAAATGTTTTCTCAGTTTCCTTCTCAGAACAATTTAGGATTTAACATCAAGGTAGCGTTGTCTTACGTGTAATAAGGATTCTGAAGAAAACTGCTTTTTGATCTATCTGATCTCATACAAAACACTGCTCTCTGCTTTATGTATGAAAGCAGGTGTACCTAAAGGTCTACCAGTTCCTTTTCTGAACTAACTCAGTAATGAGGGAACTGGATAATTTTTTAGCGATAGTTACGTTAATATATTCTATAATTTGATCAATGTATGTAGACGATATGTTAACAGGATTTTTATGATATTTCTAAATAAAAACCGGATATTTGACATATGTTGTTTGTAGTGGAAAATATATGCACTTTTAAGATTTACTACATTGAGAGGATTGTGAAAACGTTTATCGACGTTTTATAATTTTTGTATTGAGAGGCAGAGGCGAAAAATTAGGAGGATAAAAGGATATATATCAGAAAATACTGTATCAACGAACGTGGATTACAAGATGAGGATGCCAAGGACAGAAAAGTATAGTAGAGGGGGAAGCTAAGAACATTTTTCTTTATAGAAACCCTCGGTGTTTAAAAAAAATGATTAGTGAAGAAAAATAAAAATAAATTGTTTAATGTTAATTTAGTTTTAATATTAGAATAAAGACATTTCTTATAAAGAAAATTAAGAGTTATTTTAAGATTATACATCATCATCCAATTTAGGATTTTTGAAATTTATCGGTCGTTGACAAAGCAGATTTAGAATCAGGTTGTTCCTAAATAAAAACAAAGTTAATGATCATTGTCGTTACTTAGGATTACATCCTCATCGATTGGCTGTCTTCCAATTACTTTTGAAACTAAATAATTGATTGAGCAGTGAAAACTCACAAGGTTAAAAAAAAAGAGAATTTGGTACAGTCAAAACGACTATAAGATCGTCGATTAGTTTAATTTTTATGGAAAAATCCTCGTAAAGTATTGTTGTAACACCTAAAATATTATTAACTTTTTATTGATTCTTGCAAGGGAAAAACACTTGCAATCCAATATTTATCTTAAAAAGTGGATAATATATATATATATTATTACTTTATATAATGTTAGTTTTTGATAATATGTTACATTTTAACAATTCTACAGAAAAACCACTATTCAGCATATAAAAAAATCTTTCATTTAAATGAAACAAGGACAAGCGAGTTAATGAGGATTCATTTTCACTTTCATAGAAAGGACATAATCAAGCAGGACCAATATGTAGCTGTCCTTTAATAATATTCAAAAGTTGAAAATAAACATACGTGTGTAAACCTTATTCAATAAAAATAATAATAATAATGGTACTTTCTGGTTAGCAGGATGCCAATTTAAAAGTTGCAAAATTAAAATTCCTACTATTTTTAGCAAATATGAACTTTTATTTTGCAATTTTTAAATAAATCTAATTTTAAACATAAATTGAAAAAATACAAAAGAATTATTTTACTTACAACAGAATGACAAAACTTCTCATTTTTTATAACTCTGGCGTACCATTTAGGTGACATAAAATTCGAAATGTCTGAAAAGGCTCCCTGTTTAGAGTGTTGTCTTCTCCACACAAATTCGATAAGATAGGACTCTAAGTAATGACGAGAAGTGCCGCGTTGTACTTTATTTCTCCTTTTAAATATTCCCCATAATCTCTCGATAATTTGTGTATGACATCCCGTTTCGGGATCGACAAAATTGAGTTTATGAATGACATGATGATGATAATATCCAGCTTCTTCTAAATCTTTAGTACTGTACGCTTTCCAACAGTCTGAATATATAGTTGTTCCTTCGAACATACGATTCCTTCAGTAAGGTTTTTGCTGAACGGTCTTGAACTGGAAAGAAAACATTCTTTCGACTCTCTACATAAACTGCCAAACACCCACTGTTGCGTAAGTACGCGGCCGACATTGTGCTTATTGCGCGTACGTTGTTTCGTCGAATTGCATTTGTCAAAATTCACAGAAGAAAGGTCAACGACTATAAATAGATGAAACGCATAGCATTTGAAAACAATATGGGTGATTCTACAAACCAGTTGTCGGTTCTAATTCCCTTCTTTTCACGACACGTTCTTATGTGACATCTCCATTTTGGACTTTCTGTCGATCAAAAATACAGACATTTGATGTTTGTTAGTGACCGGTCTTTCAGTATGCAAAATTTCTTGTTTTTGAAATAGAGCAATAGCACCATCTTCGTCTCGAGGAATATCCCGTAATTTATATTCCATTTTCAAATATTTTTAAGAAACCAACTTGAAAAGACACAAACACGCTCCACAAACAGTAATCACTTTGAAAGTATGATACATTACCACTCTTCTCGCCAATGCGCAAAACTAATTTGCATATTCATGCGAACTTGATGACGTAAAATTGATGACGTCGCATCGTCAGATTTGTAAAAATAAAAATAAAATAAAATAATAATATCGAAATTATTCATGTAATAAAGGTTTATAAATAGTTACAACAGCAAATGTAGTAAAATATAACGAATTTTCACTACTTCGGTGAAAAAAGCACGTGAATATGCTGAGTCTGAAATAATTCGAGGTTTTTTCGAAGGAAAATCTATCAAAAGAGATATACGGAGGCGTTACAAGTCCATAAAATATTGCCTATTATAGATTACAAAATTTAGTGATTTTGCTTGTTTCTATCAGTTGAATCAAATGTTGCGTTACTGTTCTGGTCTTTTTGAAATAAAAGACATACCTCATTTTCTAAACAAATCATGTCTTTTTAAAGATAACTCAACCAGCAGCCTCAAAGCCATATTACACAATAAAAATAAGCATCCTTCCATCCCAGTAGACTCTTAATCTGTTATTAGAAAAAAAATCAAATATGAATGGCACATATAAAATATTTGTGGCGACTTCAAGATGGATTTCTTCTATAACAAAGTGGTTTCACCAAGTACTCCTGTTTCCTGTCTATGGGACGGCAGAGCTAGTGACCAGCTTTATACCAAGAAAAAATGGCTAGTTGATTCTGGGTTCAACGTAGTTAGTAAACTTCTAGATTTTTTTCTCTCTCTAGAAAAGATTTTGCGACTGCCACTGTATATTAAACTGGGACTTGTCAAGTAGTTTGTGAAAGCTTTGGCACATAGTTATGTTGCTTTGTAATACATTAGATGTGTTTCCTCGGTTATCTGCTGCAAAAGTAAAATGTGGAATTTTTTACTGAATCTCAATCTTGGTCAATATTAAAAATAACGAATTCAATAACTCGTCTTAGTGGAAACAATAACTCGTGTAGAACACAACGCATAGAAGACATTTAAATTGTCTCTTGCCTGCACAGACAATTTAAATGTCTTCCATGCGTCGTGTTCTACAGGAGTTATTGAGAATTACAAAACCTCGCAGTATACTTGATTCTCAGTTATAGTGTTGCTGAGATGTGGAATACCCATTAAAATGCATTATTTGAACTTTTATATTGATTTCTTCAGACAAAATTTACATGATGTTAGTGAAGAATGTGGTGAACGTTTTCACTAAGATATTAAATGTATGAAAAAGTTTCCAGGTCATCCCCTATCATTAGCTATTTATAATAGCTAATGATAGGGGATTATATGGGCGTTTGATGCATAAACTGAACCCAGAGCAGCACAAACGAAAAAGCCAATCTCATATTCATCTTTAAATCAGTATCTAGTTTCAGAACAAATGGTGTTTTATCCAATGATTGATATGCGCTGATAGGATGTTTTAGACCATATTGCTGTTTAAAGTAAATAAATCAGAATTTATTATTTTTCCTTAGTAATCAGTAATATTGTCTTACTTTCAGTTTACGGATTGAATAAATGATAAAATCAAACCTTATTTCTAAGTAAATAATGTTTTCTTCAATATTTGCATATATTCTACTAAGACCTAAGTCTTCATAATCGTTGCATAATCATGCTTTGTATATTTCTATGTTAAATAAATCACTAATTATAGTTTTCATTTAGTAAAAATTTAGATTATTCTATCGAAGGTATTGATATTTTAAATAATATAAATCTAATTCCTCCCTATTAGCGTGACAAAATAAACACAGACATTAAGATTGAGATAAACAAAATATTGAAACTTTTTGAGGCTAGTGTAATATTTGATAATTTAAACTGTGTAAACAATACACAACTATGTAAAATTATCTAATAAAAATACAATTAATTTTTAATATACATTATGAAATTATAAAAGTATAGAATATATTCTCTTGTATGTTCCAAGTATACTTGTGAATAGGAATTATAAACTGAGTTTAGGACAAAAATCATAAAAATATGTATAAATATTTGAATAAGAGAGAAATTTAAGTTTTAAAATGGTTAACTAACTTTTGAGCCAACCTGTATATAGATTTTATAATGGAAAAAAATGTACAGAAGACAAATTTGTAAATCATTTATTTGCTTCTGATACAATATTTTCAAATTTATCATTATTTTCAACATCAGTATCAACAATAAAATCTTTAAATCTTCTCCATGAAATTTGTAAATAAATGCTTTTTCTTTTATTAACATTTACAACAGATATGTCTGCTTTTCTTCCGTTGAAACTGTGAAAATTATCTAATTAAAAATATATATATTTATATATATATTTACATCAATATACACAAATTTCAGAGTTTATTCACACGAATTCTACTATAGATAATTATATTATTTCTCTAAATAGAAGAAGAAAATTATCATTGAAAGGAAACTAATGTGACGATGATAATAATAATAATAAAAATAATTATTATTAGATGATATTTTATAAAGGAAAAAAAATTATAGGAAATTGTATAAAATGCGGAATTTCTCGAAATTACATGATAATTTTAATTAATTATCTTATAATTTCGAGCATTACACTGCGATAAAGTTAATTGCTGAAGTTAGCAATCCTTTCATTAAGTAGTTTCAAGCAATTTCAATTTTATAAAATAAGTTTTTATGTGCCACATTCAGCAAAATAGTTGTGCCACAACATAAATAAGGGAGGGAGAGGTTATTTTTTCATTCGATTGATAATTTTTCACTAGTTTTTAAGTAAATTTGAATGTATTTAAGATTCACAAATCCATTCAAATTGCTTAACAATGAATGAAAATTTACTTACTCGTAGAAAATAATAACCACCTCCAGCTAAGTATCTTAAAAATAATCACAAAAATTTTTAAAATATTATTTAAATTATACAAATTATTCAATCAAAAATATCGACTAGAAAGTTTTGATTTCATGTTTTTTTATGAGCGTATGTCTATATAAAGGATCGCTATTTGGCACTGACGAGATCAAAAATACCCATTGCAGTTGTTTAAATTTGATTCATACGACACTTTCGTCCTTTAAAGGTGGTGGCTCGTTAGCTAAATTATTAGAAGTATTATCTATTAATTTATTAACTAAACGTTTGGAGAAAAAATCCTTCAATGATGATATAGATCCTGCTGGGAAGGCAATAATTTCATCACAAGATCGCCATTTTTTCGATGGTATTTTTAATATATGACTCTTGAAATATTTTTTACTCAATTCTTTTGATGGAGACATTTCCTTTTTAGGATCTAACAATGGTTTCAATGATTCATTACCTGTAATCATACCATTTTTATTTAGTTCATTAACTGGAGAACATTCGTGATATATAAACGATGGAATTGATTTCTCATCTGTCTGTCTGTTATTTGTATTTTGTGCGATTTGTGTAGATTTACATTCATTGGAATGATTCTTAATATCTCCACAACTGAAACCTCCTCCGCCTCCTTCTTTCAATTCTAATTCACGATACCTCAGTCTATTTTCTCGAAAACTATGAGGTCCAAACTTTTTGCATATGCGAGGACTATCTGTAGATATGCGATGAGAATTTTGTAAACCATGAATAGAACCATTTAATAATGAAAAATCTTCGTGACTATTTGAAGGAATGTTTTCTCCACGCAATGCAAGAGAATCTCTTCTCTGGAATTCACTACTGTTTGCAATAGAATTTTTCTTGTCGAAGACACTAGAAAATAATGGTAATGGTAATAAATTTTGATGACGGCGACGATGTTTATTTCCTTCTGTATGGCCAAGTAACCAATATGTATGAATTTCACCTTTTCCCTGAAATTTGAATATTTCAGATCATGTAACGCAATGAAATATATCTTATTATTTATATTTAATATTTTAAAAGAATATTTTTAAATAGAATGACTTAAGCTTACTTTCATATTTACCAATCCTCGACTTTCGATAATATATCCTCCCAATTTTTCTAAGTACTGTTTACACCATGGACTAATATGAATTTTCAATGCTAAAAATTAATAAAAAATTTATAATTTAAGCTGAGAGTTTTCATATTTCATAAATATAATTATTACAGAATTCATTCGGTATTAATACAGACAAAAATTCTTAAATTATGGAAGTTATGCTCCATCCTTTTTAAGAATAAAATTCATAACTTTCGGGAAGATGGTTACTCATCAATTGGGAAAAATTAATTTACAAGTTAAAAATTACATAATTATTTAAATAAAAATATATTTTAAGTATTCATACAAGTATTTATTCAATAACATTAAGAAACAAACATACGTTCACCATTAGACTCCATTCGAGAAGCAGTATTTACAGTATCTCCAAACAGACAATATCTTGGCATTGTTAAACCAACCACTCCAGCAACAACAGGACCTAGATGTTATAATATGACTGTATATAATTTTATCATTTATTCATTAAAACAAAGCTTTAGTTAATTTACCTGTATGAATTCCAATTCTTAATTTTAGGATTTGATTAGGACGATGTCGAATTCTGAACGTCTTTACTGCATCCAATAATTCCAAAGCCATTGAACATATTTCACTAGCGTGTTTATCACCATTTCTAATGGGTAAACCACTAACTACCATGTAAGCATCACCTATTGTTTCCACTTTATATACCTCGTAATCTTTAATTATAGCATCAAACGTCGTGTAAAGATCATTAAGAAAAGTTACAACCTGAAAATTAAATAATTAAACACTATATATATATATATATTAGTTTTATATGTTAGAAAGCTTTAAAAATGACAAAATTATACTGAAATTTCTAATGATTTAGTTGTTCATAAACTAATTATACTTAACTACATTAGTCTAAAGGTACTCAACATACAATTTCGTCATACAATTTCGTAAAAGGAATGACAAAGGAGAACGTAAGTATTTGGTCACAAAATGGAAACAGAACCTTCAATTTTCATTAATACATGGCATATGCTGTTAATGGAAGAGTTATAGAAGTCATGGTATGCATGCTTCACAATGTTGGAGCATTCAACAATTTAAAAATGTAAGTTTATTCATATTGTTTTTGTTTCTTTCTTGTCTAGATATATGATTTAAACTTTGGTTTATTAATAAATTGTTACAATTTTAATTAATCTACATATGTCATTATTAATTGCATAAGAAAACATAATTCTACTATTTAACATTACGAATTAATAAAAGAACATATACTTCAACTTCCTTTAAAATACTCACTATAAAGATAGAAAGGTAATACATGTGGTTATAACTTATCAAATAATTGTATATAAAACTTATAATCACCTCCATAGGAGTACTAGAAGCAGACATTTCGGTAAAACCAACAATATCACTAAAATATATTGTTACTGCGTCAAACGATTCTGGAATAACAGTTTCACCTCTTATAAGTTGAGCAGCTACTGACCTAGAACGATATATCGAGACAAATTGCAACGATTATATAATATTTATTACGTTACAATATATCAAACATCATACTTTTCCCTATAAAAATTGGTAAATACGATAATAAATTAGATGATGTTTTCTCATGTTTTCTCTTATATTATTTCAACTTATAAACTAAGTTTTCATTCTTTTTCAAATACTTTTTTTAAATGAATAAACAAAGTTTTGGTTTATACACAGATTTATGTTTATTGTATACTTACGTTGGTAACATTCGATGCAGTAATGCAACAGTTTTCTTCTTTTCTTCAACCAGTAAAGCTGTTCTTTCTTCAACTAAATCTTCTAAATTATTTGCGTACTTTTCCATCATGTTCATCATATTATCCATTATGTTCGATTTCCTGAAAGAAAATAAAAATATATAATACTTTAAGGCAATAATACTTGTAGGTTTTATTGGGCTGCAATTTGAAAAATTGTAGACATAAATTTCACTGTCGCCCGTCCGTCTGTTTGTCAGTCCGTCCTTAATCTCGAGAACCGTGTTAGATAGATGACAGTCAAGACCAGATATGGAAATCTTAGCAGCAGGAGGCGCCGATTAACTATATACGAACTTCCGGTGCAGTTAAGTGTATGAAATATATTATAAAATGCTTCAATAATCTTAATATAGTTAATAACGACTTAAATATTTGAAAAATTCTGTTTAAAAATATGCTTATAAGATCTGTGTAATATAGTCCGGTCTTCTAGTCTTCATATATAAATAAATGTTAATAATATATTTACGCTTATATTCTTATTTAATATAAAATAAAACAGATAAAATTTATAGCTAAAATATAAAAATTTTAATTTGCATCTTTATATCTAACACACTCAAAAATTTAACTGAGCAACTGTTAATCACGACTCTCATTCATATTCAAAAATTAGTGATTGTTGGCATATACGTGTCTTGCCAATATCCCTCATAGGTTTTCTGAAGAATTTAGATGTGAACTTCATAAAAGATATTGCAAAACTTCAATATTTTCTTTTGTAAATTATTCTTTCACTTGTCTAGAAGCATGGTACGGAGCATTGTTTTGCTGAAATTACCAGTTTTCACCAACAATTAACGGTCGACGTAAAATCGTTTTTCTGTCAAAATTATTTGATATATTTCTAAATTTATTCTAATGTCAACTCTTGTTAAATCTGTGGCCCATTACAGAGACTCCCTACGTGATGGCTGAATTTACGCTCCTTTCTTAAATCCAACAGCTTTCATCAAGATCATTAAGATTCAACTGAGAAAATTAACGACTTTCATTCATCCTCAGAACATTATATTTTTGGCCCTTTGAAGTATTACTGTTTCCCTCAGTATTGCTTTTATTTTAATGCATTTGATATTTAAACAGCTTCTTAGACTTTTCCAAACTGATATATAAGTAAATTTGTTTTTTAAATTCGTTAGGTATTTCTCTTATTAATAAATTTTCCATTATTTCTAAACTGAAATCTATCATCTCTATAGGATTTCTGAAACCATTAGGATAGTAAATTTGATAAATATGATTATTTTAAAGCTCTGTGCCGCACGGCACTCTTAAATTATAAGATTATGGCTGAAAATAGTTGAAAAAGTTAGAAAACCGCCAGAATTTCAAATTTACTGTCGATTTCATACTATTATTGCTTACAGGACTTATTTCTTCAAAAATTTACCTAAAATTTAAATAAAAATAATATTAGCCATGACCTTATAATTACTTAACAGTTCTTTTTTTTAATGCAACGTAATTAAATCCTTTTATTGAATCACGCAAGATGTACTGTACGTTCATCCCAAGACAGGAAACACACAGCGATTGTTTAGCCGAAGTGCCCTACTTAATTTCTCTATGGTACTACTCTTTACAAAACTTTTCAGACCTTTTTAATCGCTAAGAAATAAAATAAATTTTTATTTAAAAGTATTTCAAAATTGAAGACTAAATACAAATAAAATTTTGATGTCTTTCGAAGGACTCTGCTCATGATGTATTCCTGTGGTTATGAAGGATGTGTGAAGACACCAAATTATTATTTGTATTTAGTCTTCAATTTGAAATATTTCTAAATATTTTTCACTCTAAATTTTAATTATCTTAATCTATATTAAATAAGAATATAATAATACATTTTAATGTGTGTAAACCTTTAGAAAATTCTTAACTGATGTTGTACTGATCTTATAATTTCTTAACAGACCTTATACTCATAATGATAACACATTTTACGTTATGTTGTTATCAAAAACTCTAAAATATAACAACACAAATGAATAAATGAAATTCTACAGAGGCATTATGTATAATCATTATTTCTGACAACAGTTTATTTTCTGGAAAATCTTTCATAAACGTGACAATTCGACATACTAAACATGAAAAAAATATTTTTATGTTTACTTTTGGAAATCGCTAAGTATGCAAATGACATTCAACTAAAGAAACTTTTCCATGAATGTAATTTGCATATTTTATGAGTTCTTAAAATATCTAGAGCTTTAAAGATTTCGTTATATCTTAAGAATGAAATCTTTATCCCAGAAGAAATGTACAATAATTGAAAAATTTAATATCATTTTACGCATTTAAATAAATTAAATGAATAAAGTAATTAAGTTTGTCATAAATATAAAAGTGCATAAAATATTCATAGGATGGACACGTGAAAAATTCCATGTAAATTGCTTCTGTGAGAATTTATTCATTCGTATGATTTAGATAAGAAAATAATTATGTAATACTCACATTCCACTCTTCATATTTTTGAGGCGACTTTTCATTTGACGAAATTCGGGCCTCAGTTCAGGATTTTCATTCCAAGCATCTTGCATAGCATGAAGTATGTAATTTTGACATTCCAAATTGGAAAAAGATGGCCTAAAGGGCAAATTCCCATCTGGAATCTTTTTTACTTTTTCCACAATGTCTAATTCAAAATAAATATATATTAAAATACTTCTTAAATTAATGAAGTTTACACTTTAAATCAATTGTAAAATTTTTAAAATAATATTAGCAAGACTAATTTGAATAATTAAAATTAATTCATCAAAAATTTTAAAGCATAAACGGAATCAAAAATACATGTAATAACAACTTAGAAATAAATTTTATAAAATTTTATTTCTTGTATTTGAGTTTTGTGTGCATTAAAATATCATAAAAAATAATTTTTCGTAAAGATCTTTCTATAAACAATCTTAAAAATTGTCATAATAATATTTTATTGAAGAAAATAACTACTAAAAACCAACGGTAATGTTTTTTGAAAATAGCTCGACTCAGTTATATAATTTTTATATTTTCCTATGTAGAAAATACATTATAATAACAATATTATATATTGATGGATTTATTTCAAAAATTGTTTGTAAGAGCTTTATAAATTTATTTCATCTGACAATTTTTTGATTTTACGTGAATTAATATATACTGTGTATATATTGTGTTGATAAAAATAAAGGAAAAGATAATAAACTCGTTCTTTCTAATTTAAATAATGTTAAAATTATTAAAAATTATATATTTGTATAACTTATGCAATACAAAATTAGCAATTATTTATTTAATATCACATAAAATATTTTAAAATATAACAACAAAAGCACGAACGATGCATTAACATTCGATAAATATTTGATATTCGCATTAAAATTTTCTTTTATATAAATTTATATAATTTATAAATTTACTTTTCATTATATTTTCATTTATTTCAACAGAATGAATGTGTTGACTTTCTTAAATTATTCTTAAATCAATTTAAAGTTAAAAAATAAATAAAATTACTGATAAATGAGAACAGCTTAATTAACGCATAAATAAAATTATTTAAATATGTTTTCGAGTAAATTATTAATTGTTTGTAAAAATTTTTTAAGACTTTTAAAAAGAATTTAACTAAAAACATTAATCTTGAATATGACACATTAAAATAGGGTATTATATATCACTCTTCATTATTTTAAGATAATATTTCATATTTTCTATATATCTTCCTCCCTAAATATTCTCTAGAGATTGCATCTGATATGATAATAATAAGTTAAATATTTAATCTCAAATATTGATAAATAAAGTTACTATAAATTATCAAATATTATTTCTTACCTTTAGGTTGTAAATCTATACTTCCGTAAGGACCTTGACGTTCGAAAATTTCGTGAAGAATAATACCAAAAGCATACATATCACCTTTCTGAGATCCTTTAGGATATTCTGAAGGATTTCTAAGTATTTCGGGAGCTTTCCATAAAAGATCTACGGAATAAAAAAATTAAATAGTCAAAGTATTATCTTTTATGAATTGATTTTTATAACTTATAACACGGATAAATTTAATATTTTTTATATTAGTTTACACTACAACTTGTAAACGGAATCATTATGTGGCTAATGTTTCTTAAAATAAACGTGCTATGCACTCACTCATCATACCATCAAGTACGTACTTCTGAAGTATTTGTAATCATTTTCAGAAGAATCATTATCTGTTAATGATCTTAAATAATGGAGACCAAAATCAGCAACTTTAAGGACCCAACGACTAGTTATAATGCAATTGGAAGACTTGAGATTTCCATGGATCTTCAAATCGCTCTCGTGCAGGAAAATCATACCCTAAAATTATTATTTACAGCATTATAAACTTTCTTCGTTATTTATTTTTTAATACAAATTAATTAAAATGAAAAAAAATTAGTTAATTACCGTAATGAGATCAAAGACTAAAGATGCAATGAATATATTATCGAGTTTAAAATCGTCATTTTCTAAAACATCCTTTAAAAAAATAATAATACTTTTATTTAATTAACAAATTAAATCTACTATACTCATTAATACTCATTAAGCAAATTAATGAATATAATTTTAAAGCAATTACCTGCAAACTTCCTTTGGAACAATATTCATTTAAGACGTAGACACAATTTGGTTCTACACAAGCTCCAATAAATGAATTAATGTTGTCATGTCTCAATTCTCTCATCTAAAAAATAATAAAATGTTATAATTTCCTAAAAAATATATTTAAATTAATTTCATTATATATAAAATTATTCTTTGATAAATAATGGAAATTACCCAAATTAAGTGTTATCGGTAGTTGCGAGTGTATAGCATAACCCTAACAATCTAACAGTTTTAAATAATAATTTTTACCCTTCCGTCTGTTATGTATAATAGAGGGGAAGTATGGCAATCGGTCAAGAAATAGTCCCCAAGATTTTTACATTTTTGGACTCAGGTGATCTTCAAACGTCGAGAAATGCAAAAATGTTTGCTGTTTTTTCTGCAAGTATGGATAATTGTTTATCCAATTCCAAGCTTAATAACTCCTGTACCTTTTGTCGAAAATTTCTGAAATTTTGCGGGGAGGTTTGTGTATTAGGGGCGTTGACGCTATTAAATTTTGGAAGTTAATGATCAAGGAGATGGCGAGATACAGGGATCACCTCTCGTATCTCCAGTGGGGTCGGACTTAATGAAGATTTTACTTGTTATTAGTATTTGCAATTTTTATAAAACTCATTCCTACCCTCAAAATTAAGCTATTTTCCAGGGGAGGGCAAAGCTTGGAGACAAATAATTACATCAATAAATTTTATTTAATTATTTAACTTTTTAGGAGTTTTAAAGACAGATAAGAAATTTTAAAACATAACGTCCCATGGTCGAGGGCGTAAGGTTACATACATATACATATCTAATATTGAAAAAATGCAAAATATAGAGTTAGCCGTTTATGATTCTATATCGATGACACAAGTAAAGATTTTTATTTGTATTATTGAATTATTTTATATTTAATATCGTAAACTAAAAAGAATAGAATTATTATAATTATTTTACCAATTTCATTTCTTTCTTCATATCTCGGGGAATATCCATAGATTTTCGATTAAACTGAAACCGTTTAATAGCAACAATACTTCCTCTGTACATTGCAATTTCAGTAAATGCATAAAGAACTGCTCTGGATTCCATAGAAATTTGACTCATTACACTAGTCTAAATTTAAAAAAAAATTGGTGTTAAATTATTAATGATGATGAGGATTTTACTTATTTTATAATTGTTAATTTATTAAACACAAATTAAGATTTAATATCTTAAAAATTTCTTTAATTTTCTTAAAGATTAATCATTGTTTAAACTAAATGAAGTATAAAAGTGCTCATTTAGTTTAAGAATATGAATAAAATAATGTGAATTATTTTGTATATCTTAATATGAATCTAAATATAAGTATGAATAATTAATATTAAGCTTTTTTATAGTTTAAATTTATAGATAAAAGTAATTATAAATTCTCTTATAGAGCAAGGAGAGTGATTCAGACATTATTTAATAATTAACAAATGTCTAGAAAATTGTCTAAGAAAAATAGAAATTGGTATCATTTATTATCCATTATATATATATATATTAATTTATAAATTGCATTTTAAATGAAATTTTATATAATTTCAGAAATCAAAATTTTACGGACAAGGATTATTATGTGAATTGTTTGATACCTATACCGAGAACTAAAACAATACGTCTTCAAAGGTATCTACTCTTTCTATATGAAACTTTCAAATATATTTATGAAAAATATAAATGTTTTAAAAAATATTTTAAAAAAAATTCTACTTGATATATAAAACAATATTTCTATATATAATTGTCATTTTTTTTGTTATATGATCAATAAAATTCGTGATGAAATATTGAATTTATATCTAATATTATGAATTTTTATTTTATTGTTTTAAATATTACGTATAAAAAGTATTATAATCGAAGACAAAAGTTCTTAGTCTGCTTTTACATCTTTCGTAAGTACGAGAACAATTAAAACATTAACGGAGTTGACCTCACATATTTTTGCCCCAAATATGTAAAAATTACATTTCTAGTTTTAAAAAATACGGCAAGGAGTTGAGTAAATTTTCCGGCAAAAATATTTAAAATTGCTTATGGCGCCAAATGTTACGAGATTTTATTTAAAAACTTTTTACATTACTGTATTAATTATTATAAAACTAACAGATGAGCCAGGCGTTGCCCGGGCAGAAAATAACAGCAAAGATTAAGATTATTAGATTATTTCGTTCTTCAAACTCTTATATTATATTATAGTAGAGGAGAAGGTGGTATTATGGAACCCCAATTACATTTTAGTGAATTGTAAACAAGGTATCATAACTACACTTACATTTTTTGTGCGAAAAGTACTGGTAACTAGTAAACTNAAATCAAAATATGTATGTATTTAACTACTGTATTTATATATGCATGTATGTAAGGTAAACGGTTCTCTCTATACTGTTCAATGTATCATCACGAAATTTGGCAAGAATATTCTTCGACACCCTAGAAAAAATACTGTGAAGTCACACCCCTAAAGCAGCTTAAAGCCCACTCTCTTAACTTTACCTCGAGTAATTTTTCGTATTTTTCAGTTTAATTATTGTAAATACTCGCCTTAATAAGTGTATATTTTAGTTTCTAAGACCATTGTCTTTATAATATTTGCCCAATCCAACCAAACCAACTTCCACCCACTCAAAACGCCATGCAGCAGTTAGTATATGAAAATTTTTAGTATATTATATATACTTATGTTATAAAATGCTATATATATACTGCAAAAGTTTATCTCAATGTTCAAAGTGATGAGAAAGAAATTAAAATTAGAATTTTGAAAACATTTTATTAATTTTGAATTATTGGCTGTGAATGAAAACTAACAATTTAGCAAGAAAATTTTTTTATTTTTCTTATAATGATATTTATTGATTTCCAGAAAGAATATCGAAAATAGATTTTAATGACTTTTTTTTCATTTTTACAGCAAAGTGCATCATTTCTACAGTTAAAACATTATTTTTATTCCATTCAAATATATGTAAATTGTGGAGAAAAATATGTAAAAGTCATTCTAGATATTTTATAGAATAATATTTGTTTAATAATATTTTTTTTAAATTATAATAAAAAATTATTAGAGATTCGTTAAGATAATATTAATAGAGCATAAAGACTGTTATCAGNTAAAAATTATAAAATTATCACTAAAATGATTCATCTAACACAGAAAACATTAAGGTCAGTTGATACGCGAGGATGAAAGAAAATATTTTTAAATTTTAAAATATTAAAAACATTTTAAATATTTTAAATTTCCAAGTAAGTTTATAAATATTTTATTTGAACTTTAGAGAACTGAATGAATACTTTTAAACATAGCTTATTTAATACTTCTGTTTATATTTATATTTAATTAATTAATTTAAATTAATATTTATTTTATACTTCTATGATAAATATACAAGATTAATTTCAATTATAAATTCAGTAATTACAAACTTACAACGTTGACAAGAACGTTTTATTTTAAATTAGAATTTCCTCCGCATTAAAAAATAACAATTGGATTTTTTCAAGAGGGTATATTCATATATATTACAAATTATATTATACCTTAATTACGTTGTTATGAAAAATATAAATGTTTAATAACAATCTAGATAAAAATGTAAAAACATGCATTTTAGTAATAGCATGTGGATTGTTATATTAAGAATGGTATTGTTATGTAAAAAGTTATGAACATATTAGAAAGATAAACAGATATGCACTGAATTTTATATTCATACTTGCTAAAACATAAAACGTATCTATGGATATGGATAATATCCTTATGACTAAGTGGATCCCGATGCCCATCCTCTAACTTTAAAAAAAGGACTCGTTTGATTGTTTACTAGAATATATATATATATATTATATATTCTAGTAAACAATATAATATACATACAATAGAATATACATATTAATTTTTTTACTCATTCCACCCTCTACGCAATAAGAAGAACGTTTTTTTCTAAGCTCACAATCTGAGGAAACAAGAATCCTCTATTGCCTCAGATATCTGGCCTGTATCTACGAGTCATAGATAAGATCATTAAATTATACTACAATATTTTATATTTTTTCACTAAAGACAATCTATTTTTGTCAGTCCTCCCGAAAGGCACCCCTCTTGGCAAAATGCCCAAGTGTTGGATTGTTTTATACCATCAATTCAATCCAATCCAAATTTATTTATGTCTCAAAGGATCAATCATGGAATTACGTTTAAAAATTTTTGTGTCGGAAAAATCTAGAATCTTTTTGTAGAGAATACAATCGTTATCTGTATAGAAACTGCATAAATATTTTTAAAAGTGCTAGATGTGCTGAATTTAATGTAATGGAAAATAAATTATTATGGAATTGAGAAGTTGCGAAGAAAAGCTTGATAGTGTAGATAAACGTTACGAAATTAGTTTTAAAACAGGCAGCTCTGTACAATAATGAGTGATTGTATAAAATACATGCAATAAGTAGAACGACCATAAAAGTAATTTCATAAATAAAAAATAAAAAATCGTTGGTAACGAAAATAGAAATAGCAATAGCACAACTGGAAAAGAATATCCATTGTCAATTTTATCGTTGTGCTGTAATCTTAGAATTATTGTACTCCTACTAAATTTTTACTGAACGGCATATTATTTTATATATTTCTTGATTTGCAATTTCTTTTGTTAAAATAATCATCAAAACTACGTATTATCTTTGCATTTTAAAAAATAGTGTTATTAATTATAATTCATTTAAAAAGCATATTTTTCACCCACAAATCCTGCAGACTCTACATTAATATCGATATAAATTTTAAAAAATGGGTCTTTTCATAAAAGAATGTTTCCAGGGATAGGACCTTAGAGAAGTGTATAGAACCCTAACAAACGTCTTTCAAACGTCATATATGTTGGGCCTACTCTGCCTCAAAAATTTTTTTAAAACATAAAACAAATAAAAACAGATTTTTACATTTATTAAATGAAACTTTTTATCACTTTCATGCCATTTGTTTGTTTACATACAACACTAAATTTTGGAGCCATTCTGTGCCTGGGCTACAACCAAAGGGTCTTGCTGACCTTCCCCATAACTGAACCAGGGTATGAAACATATTCTTCACACCAAAATGTAAAATATTATAGATGCTAAATTAAAAAAAAAGTTTCTTGATGAAAATTTTTTACTTTATCAAATTAAAAATCATTCACTCAGCGATTAGTTATGTTACTCATAAATAATTCACATTTCCTTAATTAAAATTATCGATATTATTATATTTAGAAATTATTATATATTTTTATAAAATAATTTTTAAAAATTATAAAATTATCACTAAAATGATTCATCTAACACAGAAAACATTAAGGTCAGTTGATACGCGAGGATGACAATTCGTGAATCATCTAATCTAATCGACTCTCAGATTCGTTTCGAAGTAATTTAAGTTCTATTTAATAACTGAGAATAATTGTTTCGATTAATTTTATAATTAAAAATATCTTTAACAGTTTTATCTCCGGAACAATTCTCTTTCAATGCACTGAAACAGGATGTAGAAAAGTTTAAAAGACGAAAAGAGATATTGTTACTGCTTGATGAGTTTTGTGAAATAAGATAGACACGAAGTTCTATACTGATCTAAAAATTAGATATTTACAAGCTGTACAAACCCGTAATTTATTTTTATATTTATATTTAAATAGAACAGTTTAGAAAAATTACAAAAATTAATTTTTCTATCAAAAAATCCGTAAGGAGAATTGCCTGAATATTTTTTAAGCGTAGAAATTAATTTTTTCAGCTTTAGGAATAAATCGATTAACTTATTCTTTCCATGAAACATTAAAACAATTTTTTTCAATTTTAAATCATTGAAATCCATATTTAATAGCTTTTCCTTCGGATCTATTAATTACTCTTCAAGATTACAAGCAATGATTAATGATAATTTTTGTAATTTCAAGAATTTTAATTATAATTTAAAAATAATAGCGCATAAAAACTGATTTATAGTAAAAATTTCTCAAATTTTAACTGGAACTTAGAACTTTATTGTTCTTTATCCAAGTTAGTTTCAACTAGTCAAAGAGATATTTTGATAATTTTATATATAATTTATTCATATTTAATGAGCAATTAAATAATATTTAATTTATAATGTTTATTATTCTCAAATTAATATTCATTTGTTTATCATTAATATTAAATTATGAGAAAATTAAAACTTAAATGTAACAAAATTAATGAATAATTTAGTTACAAATTCGATTTGTTTACATCGACTTATAACTTCAGAATATGTTTAAAACTTAGTAAAATATATTAGGTAACATTTATTTTATTGATTCTAACATTAAAAGGGCACGTTAAAACAATTGTAAAAGTATAACTTGAATACTTACCAATTATAATAATTATTATTAATTAATAAATAATCTCATCCAATATTTCACTTTTTTTATATAAGTGATGAAGTTATTAAAATAAATTTTATTCGATTTACTACTAATAACTCTTTCTAAAAGGGATTACTCAAATGAAAATTTCTTAGTGAGCTTGATAAAATATAGGAATCTTAATATATTCATAACGTTGTAAACTTAATAAGAGATTGATAAATATATCTTTCTATCTCATCAATTTTGATACTATTTATGTTTTTATTGGATAAAAACAAAAACAGAATACATAATAAATTAATATTTTTAATATTTTTAAGTTCTGAAGATATATAACGAATTTATTAAAAGAAACTAATGTGATGCAATGATAACAAAAGAAACTAAGAAGAGAAGATGGAGACATCTCCACAATGATAACCAATGGTAAATATCATGACTTATATAGTTTAAAGTTGTAATATCAGGAAAAAATCAATAACAATTTTAAATTTTATTAACATTAACATGAAACTTATCTGATAATTTCATTTTAAAACTTTCAGCAGCAATTTCGCTTCAGATGTCAAGATTCAGTACCTATTATATGAATTTAAATCTCCGGTTTCATATGGCATTAAAATTGATAAAAGGAATCAATATTTTGGGTAACAAATTTCTCTACTTATAAAGGTTAAAATTAAATACTTATCTAATCGTTTTATTTTTTAAAGTATAATATTTCTAATTTTTTTTTCTCTTACTTTATTCCTATTAAATCGAATTTTATTAAATATACAGTATTTATATATTAACTCTTAATTGTATTTAATATTCATAAGTTAATATTACAATAATAATTTGTAAAATAATAATAATAATATACCTGTAAATCATTGCTGAACTGACTATTACAACTAACAAAATACAGGCCAACACTCCACAAATTATCTTACGTACTTTAGCTAAATAAAAAAAAGTAAATCTTAATTATTGTTTGGTTATTTTAATCATTCGTTAAATTCATTAAATATTCATTTACTTACTTAATATATCTGGACATTGGCTTCCATCGAAACCACAAGGTGGTTCGTCAAGAGGTGCTTCTCCTCCGATCCAATCAATTTTTCTTCGTTCTCGAAGACTCTAATTTATCATAAAAAATTTAATTATTAATATTTTATGCAGCAGAACTACTTTACATTTTCTTCTTTTACGGTCGATATAAATTTTCTATTATCACTATATTAATCTCACTTTATGACACTAATTTGACGAGAAATGGAATGGCTCACTTTACGACGGTTAAGTCGTAAACGAGGATTGTATATGTATTATACACATACAATCAACAAAAAAATTATTGGCACGTCAAAAATTTTTCATTTTTAATAGACGAAACGAAAAGAGTTTAAAACTATGCTGTATATATATTTAAAAGTACAATATTTATTATTAAATGTTTTTCAAATTGATATATCAATAATAATATAAAAATCTTTAGAAAAAAATTGAACATTTTAAAACACTCATTTTAAATCTGCCATGTGCAAGATATCTTTCTTCTACCAATTTTACACTTAATTAGTATTTAATATACTTTTAATTGACTTTAATAATTATTTACTACGTTTTAAGATTTAAAATTCGTTGTATTTATTAATTTATGTGTTATAAATTTGTAGTATTTGATAGTAAGTAAATTTTAGTAGATTTAAGTATAGTAAATTTGTAGTAATAAATAGTATTTGTAAATCATAATCTGAAGTTCATTAATTTCTTAAAAGTTGTCAGTTGGAAATGGAAAGATGCCATAAAGTTAAAGAGTTATAGCTCTGTTTTTTAGCACTCAGCTTTCATCGTATCTTACAACGAATGTAACAAAATACTTTAAAAGATAAGACTACTTTTCCCGAAGAAACTTTTAGTTGCGGCCTTCTAAAAGAAGATAAAAATCGACAAAGCAAATTCATTTGCAAATTGTTCATAATGCCATTCAATATAATGTAATTCTTATCTCTTACCCTAACAGAACTGTTGAACTGTAACAGAACGTTGAACAACGTTCTGTTACAGTTCAACAGTTAATAGTGTTTTTAAAAGGTAGGAATTCGTTGGAGTCCGATTGTATACTTGCTTACACGTAACCTAAATGTATTCCTTATTCCATAATGTAGACAAATTCAAAGTTAGTTGCTATTTATCTTTTGTTAAATCAAGAATAATAAAGATCTACAATACACTATCAAAAGCTCGACATAACGAAATTATTTGAGTTGGGCTTATTTAATATGCTTAATTCTAGAAAACAAATTATTTGTATATTTTCTCCATAAAAAGCATTTTAATTTTTAAATTTTTTTATATCCTATCAATTTAATGTTATATAAAATTGATGATTTTTTAAGTTTAGTTTTATTATACAATTTATCATCCATGATTCATATATTATTTGAGCCATGGGTGATAAACTGAACAAGGTGAGTCGATCCAGCATTTGCATCTAATACATAATACGTGATACCATCTCACAATTTTATTGGTTCTTGAACCACGGAATGAACATCAACAGATACGAGCAGAACAGAACTTCCAGAACTATAAACTGGCCATTTGCAGCCCTACCAACAACACAATATTTGAGGCGGAGCGTTAACGAAATCTCTTCTACGAAATCTCTTACACAGTTGTGTTCGTTCCCAAAATTTGATGAGCCGATTTTGATAAAACTTTGCTATTTCCTATTTATTGCGATAAGAAATCAAAAAAAAATTCAATAAAAAATGAGAGTCCATAACTTTGTTTTCGAGATATAGTGCGGTCAAAGTGATAATGTCCGTGCTCTCTGACTCAATTGAATGCACATAACGGAATTTAGGAGCAAAGATTTAAAAAATAGCATTGTACACGCCTAACGAAAAATGGGTACCAGAAACGAACAATACACAAGAACAAAACAATTGAATTCGAGATAATGTAAACGTCACCCGTCCGTCGTGGTCAAGTGTAAGGATTGCCTTCTGGTGTGGCCATCAACCGTTTTCTTCTAATTACAAATACACACACTATTTCTCTAACAGACTCTTTTTCTCTGTAAATATGAGTATGAGAGTGACACGTGTTTGAATGGGTATGTAAAGACATACGTGTGTGTATGCATATGCGTGTAAGAGCTCACTCTTACACACGCGTACTCCCTTACATACCCATTCAAATACGTGTCAGCGCTCGGGTTAGATAGAGCGTTAGAGATAATTTACATGTACTATACTAATTAAAATTTTTTAATTACAAAAAAAGCAACTTCTCCTCAATTCTATAGCAATACGACAAAGTCGCATGATGTCTCTGGTTTACAATAACCCAATATATAATTTAAAATGTTTAAAGTATTAGGCTTAAGTTTCTATTTATACAGTTTCACTTCTTTAATATTTCTTATAATATTTAATATAATAGTATGGACAATAATATTTATTGATGTACAATATGTACATAAATAAATTTTTATAAAGCTCTATAAATTTCAGTGAAAAAAAGGATTTTATTTATTAGAGATAGACAAATATCACTTTTCTCAAATACTCTCTAGTATTTGAGTATTTGCTCTAATTATACTGATTTTTATTGAAGAATGCGCTAAATATCAATCTGCAAAAACGTATGAAAATGATAGTATGAACGTATGAAGGAAATGTTCTGAGCTTCTCCAATTCATTACTTTATAAGCCACGTTCTATACCTAAGACACGAATATTATATGAATAAATTCAAAAGAATGCGTTCTATTAATGATGAACTCATCTGAACATTCACGTGTCTGAGTTGTCAAAGCACGTAGTAACATGTAGTTACTGCATGTTTTGACATACTGTATGCTGCATGTACAGTAGTACTAAATTATATTACAGAAGAACAATTGATATCAATTCCTGCAGCATTATGTACATTCAAAATACCCAATTCAAATGACGAATAATTTTGGCATCATATTTGTGAACCGCATTCTTAAATGTATGTTAGGCTCAAAGAACGAAAATGCTCATTGAGCGAAAAAAAAAGTCCACAAGGCGTTGCGGTTTCTTTAAATCACCCACAATGCGTGGTAACTAATTCAAAAAGACCACAAAGCGAAATTCGTGTCGTGGCTTTCATGATATTTGACCCCACGCGTTGTGGTGATTAAGAAAAGCCATAACGCGTTCTGAACGTTAGCCGTATATACTGTAAATAACTGTAAATTTATTAGAAAAACATTATTCATTAAAAGATCATTGAACTTACAATTTCGTTTTTATCTTCATCCATAATAAATATACCAGCAGAAAGCATAACGTGTGATACTTCAAGATTTCCTTTCAAAGTATGATTAGCTGGTTTCGGGTATCGAGCGAACAATGTATAATTTCCTTCAACTTGTCTATATTTATCGAAATGCATTTCAACACCCGAAATACCTAAATATTTCATTTTAAAATTATTATATAAAATTTCGAATATTTAAAGAATTTAATAGAAATACTTACTTGTATACTTCGTTTTGTTTAATATAAGATCAATGATACGAGTACCATTTTTAGGATCACCTTCCTCTTCTAATATATTTTTTAAAGCGTCAGCGAAGAGCATGACTGCATCGTACAGATAAACAGCAAACATTGTCACGTGCTAAATAAATTTAATTTAAAATTATCTTTAAAAGGTAAATAGTATGAAAACACAATAAAGATATGAAAAAAAATAATATATAATTAATAAATTTTCTTCGGGGATATGAAACGAGATCCCCTTAACTGAACACCGAAGCATACATATCTAACATGAAATAATGAAATTCGTATAATTATCTGGCTTCTGAGGATTATCTCCTAAGATACATTCATTATTATGTTATAAGGTTCTAAATTTTTGTATATAATAACATATTATATGAAATACTAATTGATAACTTTTTCAGAACATCAAACATTAAACATGAGGTTCCTTAAAGAAGATTTCTTCTGAAATTCATTGTGAATGTAAGAGGGGTTAAGAATAACGACATTCAGATTACTAAGCGATTGTGAAGTAGTCAAAGACATTAATTAAACAAATGGAAACTTTATTAATAAAAAATAATCTATACTTTTTTTAATATAATTAATGATTTTGTAGTAATGAACAATGTATTTTTTAATAAAATTATTATTTTTTTAATTAAAGTTTGTGTTAAAAATTTTAATCTTTTGCTATCTTAAACGAGCAATTATTTTATTGTGACATCGTCATAATGCTAGGCTGCAATTTTTAATCATATTTTTAATTAATATAATTTAAAATATATGTTCTACATCTCAAATTGGCTTGCCCCTGTACATCGTACTTTTCCTGTTAACAGTAGTGTTCTGCCGGTCATTTATGTAACTCTGTTCTGGGGAAATTTTCGAAGTTGACTTCCGGTTTGCATCGGAAGTTCGTGTATAATTAACTGGGTCCTACTGCTTCTTAAGGTGACCATATCTGGTCTCGACATTCATCTATCTAGCACCCTTTTCGAGATTAAGGAAAAACAGACAGACAGACAGTGGGAATTTATAGGTCAACTTTTTACTACAACTTTTTCAAATTGCAGTCCAAGCAGATCTATAAAGGGCTATGTATATCTACAGTAATAAAAATTAATCAAATATTTATTTTAAGTTTCGACATTTAATTGAATAGAAAAAACGTTCAGTATTTTTACATTTAATTAGTATTAATAAATAGATTTTTTATTTTTTTTTATTTTATCATTTCTTAGATTAGTAGGTTTACGTTTAAGTGCGGATAAAATGGGGAAAACAAGAGAGATTTATAAGAATTTATATGTTTTTCCCTTAAAAATTAATTAAATATATGCCAAGAACACTCATAAAGATTCCTGCTTATGATAAGTTAAATATAAAACAAAACAACGATGAAAATATTCATAATTGAAGAGTTATGCTATAATGATATGCATTCAATGTGATTCAGTTAACAGTCTATGATTGATATGACTGAAAATTAAAAAAAATAATTTTATTTTCTTCCGAAAGAAAATTTATATTTATAAATATCTTCCCAATTATTAAACATAATTAAAATATTATTGTTGGTGCTCTAAGAATTTATAATATATTTGTATTGATACGGCTTTCTTATTTTGTCACCAATTGAATCAAGAGTTCATTGAGATCTTCTATCTAACAATTGATCATTGTTAGATAGAAGATATCCAGTAGTATGCAATTAAATATGTATTATAGATACACATAAAACAAGAAGTTTTATGTGTATCTATATTTTCATTCCTGTTTCTATCTAATAAATGTCATAATGGCTCAGAATGGGGCACTGAAATGACTATAATCGTATGAACTAATGAAAATTAGAATGTCTCTGCAAACTAGTAATTAGATCCCACCACCAATCTCGTCTTCATTTTTGTAACAATTCTGTTTTTCTGTAATCAGCCTTTCATCTAATTTCTGGTTTGTCTTTATTCTTTCTGGTAATGCATTCAGAAACATCTATCTATCTTTATTTTTATTAATTTAAAATAATTAAATTAATTACTTATAAATTCTTCTCTTCAGAATTGAAATATGTAATAGGTTTGCATTAGCCTAATTATTTTACATTGTATCCAACATATGAGTATCTTTCAATTTATCCATACGTTGAAATTACGAAACTCGAATTGCTTGTGATAATGCGTAGCAACAGATAATTAGATAATGTTTTCAATTCAGATCGTTAGATGTTTCATAATATTTATTCCAAAAATACAAGAAATTAACGTCAATAGTCCTGAAAATCATATTAAAACAATGGCATAAATGACATGACTCGCACTGTTGACGAATGGAAGACACGGAATGAACAATGTCTTTCTTTCATCAATACCACGAGATGAAAGAATCACCTTTATAAAGAAAGGCGTTATCAGAAAAGTGGAATGGGATAAGTCAATGTTTATATATGCCACCGATTCAATAATATAAACACGCCATTCCACTATTTCATTTTCGGAATAACTTTTCCTTATAACATTGGTTATTTCATGCCATGATATTGACGAGAAAAAGAAGTAAACCTATTTTTTTCTTTAATTATGGGGGTAATTATTTTAATTTCATTGTTTTAAAATAATTTTCAAGATTATTAACATGAGTTATTTGTATGTTTTTCACTTCCTTCACTTTCATCCCTCTTTCTCCATAAGAGAGGAATAAAATTCATTAATATTCATGTCTTATCATTTAAACTAAATAATGAATTTCTGAAAATTGTTTGTTACATTGTTAAGTATTTAAATCAAATATTTTATTGTTATAAAATTTAAATACGTGAACAAGAATTCCCACTTATTTCAATATTCCAGCAATGTACAATGGATAATTGAAAATCTACTACCATTAAATAAATAGAATTAAACAAAAATAATTTTCATAATTAGCATAATACATTTCGCTACTTCTGTAACAAATGGTTTAATTAATTTATATATTAAAAACTATTATAACTTTATATATAAAAAATAAAATAGAATTTAAATAATAGGAGTATTAACAAATATAAGTTTAAATTAATTAATGCAAAAACAATACACTAATTAATTTAAAATAAAGTTTTGCTGCAATTAATTGCTTATATACGAGTATATTGTTAATGTAATTTTTAAAGTTAAAATATCATAAAAATAAATCTTACTTTTGTATAATGGAAAGGAGAAGGAAACTTAAAGGGTGGTTTACGATTATAAGCTTGTACTGTTTTTAAGAATTTTTCATATTGTGCTTCGTCTGTTGGACTTGGAGCAATTACGAGTAACGATTGTGCTGCTTCTAATGCTAAGTCTATGTCTCCTCTTAAATGTTCTTCTTTGTCTGGGACTAAATAATTTCAAGTTATTATTATTGTTAGAAATATCATTAAAATGTATATAAATTTTAAAAAAATGTATATTAAATATCATAAAATATAATAATTCTTCAAAATTTTCCCTTGAATGGGGCACTGTGACTCACGTGGCTGTTGGAGTGACAATTTTTGTTCTCCAGTGATTTAAAAATATCAGTTATGCACTGAATAATAAAAACTAAAAGGTGTCAAATGTTTAATTCTAATGGTTAATTTTTTATTTATTTTCTTTACATTTTTAATTTTTGATGGAATTCACACTCTATAGAATAATTATAATTTACTCGCGGTGTTATGCCGATATCATTATTATGTAGATTAAAAATTATCTTAACAAGAAAATGGCGGAGATTGGTGGTAATTAGTTGTATCTGTCGCATCTTTTACATTTGAAAATTATTTTTAAAGATTCAAAGATGCTCCACATCAATTTAAGACGAAGGAATTAATTTTCAAGTTCTGCATTAAATTTTATGTAAATATACATATATATCAAAACATTGATAGCAAATAATTAATATAAAATAAGTTATTAATGTAAAAGCAAGTGAATAATAATTTAAAATTTTAAATTTTAATTAAAATAAAATTTCAAGTGTAATTAATGGAATTTTTTGTTTATTCTTTGAATAACTGTCAAAGATTCAAGTGAAAAAACTATACTTGAGATGTTATATTTCTATTTATTTAATTAATTCAATTTAGAAATATAAAAAATAGAATTTAATTAATTATCTAAGGTAATTAAATTACAGTTAATCCTCGCTTTTATGTCAATAAATAAATAAATAAATAAATAAAACTAAATAAATCTACTGTAATTGGTTTCTGAAAATCGTCGTAAACGGGGAGTAATATTTCCAATATATTCAGTATTATTTATTGAGAATATAATTTAAAATACACAGTACTACATAGAAGTGATTGAAAGAAAATATACTTTATATAGTCTCATAAAGCGTTACCGCGCTCTGTAGTAGAGCTCAGGCTCACGTCTAATGTTAAAGTGCCAAATTTGACCATTAATATCTCAAAGACCAACAAACCGATTTGGATGAAATTTAAAATATTTAGTCCCCGCGATGAAGGCTACGGAAATCTTAAATTTTGAATAAATTCGTTGAATCGTTCTGGACTTACGCAATCCCAAATTTAGCATTTTTTCCACTAGATTTACAACGAGATTTTCGCGACACCAAGCTACCGAAAAATCTAGGAGGCTGCATACTGTATACTTAATATCTCTTTCGAGAGCTGATCGCTTCTTTTGTTGTCCTTTTAAAGGTTTTATTTAAAAATGTTGAGTATTTATAGAATTATAGCCCATTTTTTAAATATTAAAATTTTATTGAGCAATCGTTATCACGTGACGCGACGTTTTGAGATTACTTTTAATCTATTAATACAAGCCTAATGATTTAAAAATAAAATATTTATAAAATAATGCCCCATTTTACTTTTATGGTTCTTATGTACCTATAAATAACAAGGGAAAGTATTGGAATCGTGTCAAACTTGACCCTCCGAGTTTTTTGTAAACATCCGTTTTGAGACCTTTTGTCTACTACTGTATAGCCTATAGATGACAGAATGCTTGTATGTCTCTGTTCTTGGCATTTTATTATATTTTTTATTATAATGTATTTATTTTCTGAGACACTGAGGAAAGTATAGACTACTATGTAAACCTGGACACTCCCCCATTCATGATTCCACCCCCTCTTATTAACTCTAATCTTTTTCATGATCTGCAGTGAAGTTTTCATACTTATTCTCTGGGACATTGAAAAAAATCTGCAAGCTACCACTATCACATAAGTTATCATGAAAATTATTCTCTTATGAAGTTATTGATAACCGAATAATACTTAAAATCCCATAAAAAAATAAAAATAAAAAAACTGATAAAACCAGGTTGAAAAAATAGAGCTCAGCAGAAACATCTAAATATAGGAAACGTTTGAAAGTTGTGGAATAAGAATAGTGAAAGAATATTTGACAGTAAGACTCAAAAATCCCTGTAGTTGAAGTCTGTGTAATGTGCACTTTATTCACATGTTGAGTCTTACTGTCAAATTTTCTTGCACTATTCTTATTCCACAACTTTCAAACGTTTCCTATTCTTAGATGTTTCTACTGAGCTCTATTTTTTCAACCTGGTTTTACCAGTTTTTTATGAGATAATATCAGATTTATATCAACAGTAAAGGAAGAATTTACTACTGTATATTTTAATTATTTCAATTAATTAAAATATTTGTATATACAATGCAGAAATTATACAAACTTATTAACTGTATTGATATATTTTTTAATAATTTAAAATGTAAATTAATTCATCATTTTTTTGGAAATTTTTAAAAATATATGTTATAAATGTTTTATAAATGAAGCACTAAAGTATATTCTATATAGAACAGACAAAGGGTCTATCAACATTTCTTCACTTTTCGACATTTTTGACAATTATATTTCTGTAAACACTGAGTTTTGTCATTTTATGAGCATTACAGAAGTAGAAGCAAGTTTTTGACGTGAAAATTTAGTTCTAATCTGCAAAAGTTGGGAAAATCCTAATTTCAAATTCTTCTTCTGCTGTAAAATTGCCTTTAAGTTACATAGAATCCACTGGTTCTCACCTTATGATATGGAAATCAAATTGCAATTGGTGCAGTTGGTTCAACGAATAATAAAAATATTCATTACAATTAGTTTAAATAGAATTATTCATTTATTTTCCAAAGTAGCAATTACCTATCTAATACTGGGTAATCATCAATTTTTTTACTATTGATACAATGCTACCTCAGTTACAATGTTTCTATTTCTGGTTTTGAACTTATAGTAAACTCTATTCACTGATGTATTTTCATTTCAAAATACATCAGTGAATAGTGAATCCACATATATTGCTTTAATAAAGGAAAGTTCAAAACATACATCTTATAGAAAAGTTAAGAAGAGAGTCTCGAATATTGAAAATACCCGAGCATCTTCCTATAAATTTCCACTTGTTTTATGTAAGATTCATTTCCAATAAATATTTAATAAAAAGTAAAATACATCTGGATACGAGTCCAATTTTGCTTGCCATGTCCACGTGTTATTATTGTCACGTGGCATACTATGTGCCAATATGGACTGAAAGTTGTTGCTATAGAATTACTGACATATTACATTTACATACAATTTATTCCACTAATCATTAACAGAAAGGTAACAGATTGAAAATATTAATAGAATAATTTTAATGCTCTTTTGCGAAAGAAAACAAAGTTTGAATGGCATTACACTTTAATTTCTTTTTCCCATCAACTCTCACTTTTCCCACATTTTGAGTTCAAAATGAACTTCACACAAACAAGAATTATTTGTAGATTTTCAATTTTCTCAGAGCACTTTTTCAGCCCAAATTTTTCTCTGAACATGATTTCTTAGAAAACCTTTCATGATATATCCTTTTGCGGAAGAATTAGAACGGCTAAAAGCTGAACATCCAGACATTATTTCAGTGATATCTGCATAATAAAATTAAAGGGTATATTCTAAAACTGGATTAAAAATGACTTTAAGACACTTTTAATGCATTCAGCAGAATAACAATACAAAAATACTAATATGTAAAAGAATCATTTGTATAATAAATTTTTATATGTCTTTTAAATTGTAATAGCTTTACAAATGATATTTTAAATAATCACTTATTACCAAATAAATGCTACCTTTCAATAACGTCCAAAGTACTAGTGTGTCTTTGTATTGTTACTGTACAGGATGTTTTAAATCCGTTGTTAGTAAACAGTTAAATAATACTGTACATGCAACTGATTTAATCCTGAAAAATAAATCATCATTATCAAACCTTAAGTTGTTAAATTTTGTTATAGAATGATATGGTATTATCGAAAATGTAACAAATGTAATGTCTATCAAACTGTGTTCTGCAGACGCTTCAAAGTTTGTAAAGTTCTTAAGAAACACGTCAGAGACGTCACCTGGTTAAGGTGAATGAAGTTTTAAGGTAGTCACGTGACACGTTTTGTACGAATTTACGCAAAACTAGCCAAACAATGCCGTCTCTAAGTATCTATATATTTACCTATACATTTCTTATATTCCACTAGAAAATCTATATAATTGCTTATTTTTAATAGTTAATTCAATATTCAAAATAACACATTATTAACTCCAAAATCAATTGTTTTTTGTAGAAAATTTCTAAAATGAAAATAATAAAAACTGAGGATGCATCGACAGTGACACCAACAACATCTCAAGAAATATCCTCTAATATGTTGAAAATACCAGAAATTCTACTACACATATTTAAATATTTAAACGATCTGGACTTGCAACACTGTGACAAAGTGTGTAGTTTCTGGAAAGACCTTACCGAAGGCATCTTATACAAGAAAATAGCAATGTTTCGAAAGGTAATTACGTATTTAATTTTTCTCATCTAATTACTGTATTATTTCACTTTTTAGTCTATATACAGACATCTTGCTTAATAATCTTGCATAGTAATACACTTAATTATGTGCTTAGCTTTAGAAAAGATTTCAATGCAAGTCCAAGAAAATTCTACTGGACATACGTTCCATATAGGCCTATATTGTATTAAAAGATTATGAGAGTAACGAGCATTCGATATATTTGCATGATAATGTATGAAAAGAGTATTTAATATGTGTACTTTTATTTAACGATCTATTCATATATGCATATTCCTTTTAGAGTGCAATTTCAACTGTCCAATTGTACGTAAAACCTGCAGTCTTCATACAGTCACCACTCGATATAGTAAATAACTTTGTGACTTTTTGCTAGTCATCATGCATATAATTAATTCCACATGGCCAATTTTTATCAAAATGACTTGTAGATTACAAAATTCAAAATTACTAACTGGACGTTTACCTGTCCATCTAAAGATACTTTTTATCATATTAACTTTTAACGTAACACTGAA